GCGAGCCAAATCAGCTTCCTTTCTGTAATTGACTCACCGCCAAGGGGCAGACCTCCACTTCACCCCAGCCGCGGTCCTATCCCCACCTCTGCAGTCTAGTAATGAAATTTTTTGGCTTCGAGTGCTATAAATGTATGCAGGGCAACTTCAACATTGTTATTGTTGCTGCTTGGCACGTGGCACGTGGCAGTTGGCAGTTGGCAGTTGCTACGTGTAGGTGGTAGCCTGAGGCAAAGGAAACGGCATAAATTGATTTAGATTTTAGTTATGTTGTTATTCAACTTGCCGCCCCGCGGCTGGCTTGTAATTATTTTTGAGCAGCGAATTGTGCAATAATTAAAAATGATTAGCTCACAAACATTTCCGGGCTGTCGAATGACTCACAACAGGACCTAAGGCGTATTCGGTTTCATCTAGGGGTTGACTTGAACAACATGTAAATATTTGAAGTTTCTGTTGTTTTTCTTAAGATTTAATAAGAAAACAAAATCCCATTTTATACTCTGATACCGATACCGGCACAAGAGTAAATTGGTTTTGTGGAATATCCGTCCGTCTTTCCGACCGTTCCTTAAAGCTAGTGAATTGAAAGCAAGGAGCTCAAAGTAGTGTGCTACGTCTACCAGATTGCTAGTAAATCGATTGAATAGATAATTGCGAATTTGGCTATCATCTTGTTGGCGACGTCCTTTAGTCCTTGCCACGCTCATCAAATTTTCGGACCACGTCTACTCCCACCCCCAAAAAGCACAATAACCCATATCACCAGAAATCGCATTCAAAAATCGAGAAAGCCTATCTCTCCCGTAATTTTACACCTGGAGTAACCAAACTGGGAAGGCAATTATTTCGGAATCTCCTCCTAAGATTGTGAAGAAAATTTAGAGGACACGCCGACCCCGCCTCCAAAATATTGCAAAAGCATATATTTTCCGCAATTTTAAGTATTGAGTTACCAAATTTAAATGACACATTGATTAATTATTGATTCAGTGAACTCCCTCACCCACACTTCCACATAAAGGTTTCTCACGACCGGTGCTCTTCTAGTATGATAAGGGTCTCAGAGTATTCCGCAACCGGTTACACCCGACTGCAACGTTCTTAATAGTTTTGAATTCTTTTTAAAACTTTGTTTAAAAAGAAGTCAGTAAGTATACGTTCTCATTCTCTTTTTTTCAGAAGAAGTAAATTCAAATTTTTTTTGGTGTCAAGAAAAATCAAACCAGTTTCATGTGAAAAATTATGTTTTTTTTTTTTTTGTAAATGTATTACACAAGCACACACTCAGCTTAGACTTGGGGCTGGCGCATGTCTAAAATTTTAAGGAATTCTCAGTGGAAGTCTGAGGATGCATCAAGTGGACGACAAGCATGACGATAATGTGGCCATGCTGAAGTGGATACTGATGCTCTGCGTGCCGGCTGGCTGACTGGCTGACTGACTGACGGACTGACAATGACGAAGCTGCTGTATTTGTGTCTGAGTCTGCTTTGGCGTCTTGGTTTTATGGTAATGCCAAGTACGTGAAAGATGCACCAAACTGGCCTGCTGATTCCTGGAATGGCTGGCAACAAGATTGGGTTGTTGGGGAAACTTGTGCGCCAGACAAGATTTATCGAAATAAGTCGAATACACTTGTTCATTGCCACGCACAATGCGCTCTTATTCTTATAGTTATACTTATGCAGTAAAAAAAAAGGCGCACTGAAAGTTAAAAAAGAATTTTCTGACTTTTAGAAATAATTTCTAAGTATACGAAAAAAATGTCATTAAATTGTGGTGGGTTCTATTTTTCAGAAATATATTTTTTAATAATAAAAAATATCATAAGAAGTAGAAATTAAAACCCCTGAAAATTCGATTTTTCCTAACTTAAATCCTGAATTAAGAAAAGAAATACTCTTGTTTTTATAAAGACACAATATTTTCTTTTAAAAATATACTTTCTGAATTATAAAGATGGTCATCTTTGGAGAATGGTTATCTTGTAAAATTTTACTGCGATTTCTTTTTGTGTATGCGCAAGTATTTGCCCAGCCACCAAATGAAAATCTGACTGAGCTTAAAATTGCAACCGAATTGTGGCGAACATAAAAGTTAGTACACGATTATGATCATCATATAAATTACATAGCTAAATATACTTTTATTTTCTTTCCAGGCCTTTAAGTTGGCAGCTGCAGTTCAGACATTGAGATTTTTATAAGATAGTGGCTTGCCTATCAGTTAGAGCTTAGCTATATATTTATTAAACAATTTGTAATCTCTATAAAATAGAATAATGTAAGAAATAGAATATTAAATAATATATATTATATATTATGGCAGAGCTTAGCTATATATGCATTAAAGAGTTTGTAATCTCTATAAAATAGAATAATGTAACAAATAGAATATTAAATAATATATAATATAATATTATTGTTAGCTAAGATTGAATAACATTTAAGTCTACTCACTTCAAACTGATGCCAAATAAATACTCATATTATTCCTAAAATGCGTTCAACTGATTTAAATTAAGTTAAAGAATTTACAAAAAAAAAACATAAAGCTTTACATATTTGGTATGCTTAAGTCTTTGACCATTTGCGTTTTGCAGCAAAAGTATTTGAAGTATTTTATCCACAGTTCAAATCAAATCAGAAACCATTTGCATGAAACTAACAAATAAAATAAAATATCAAAAGCTTGTTAGATACTTTAAACATTTACACCGAATTTTAGTTATTTCAAACATTAAGAGATTTTGTTTAACTTAAAAGCCTCTTGAATAAATCATTTCAAAATCTACCAATAAATCATTTCAAAATCTACCAAAATTCTTAATTGGGGGAGCAAATCACAGATTTTGCAATACACACTAAATATACAAATTTAAGAAGATTTGATTAAATAACTCACAAGCCGGACTGGGTGCTAAACCAAGCCCCAAATCTAGTTTACAAATTGGAAACCACAAAGCCAACAACAAGACAAACCACAGCAGCAACAAAAACAACAGCAGCTGCAAAATCAGTTTTCGCCTCTGCCAAGCCACAAAAACCCCATCCAAAAGCCCCAAAGAAAGAAAAAACACAATCGCCCACTGCTAAAATGACAGCCATTTGGGGGTCGGTTGTGGGTGGATGGGGGTTCTAGCCTTTTGTCTAGTGTCCAGCGGGATGTTGAGATTTGGATGTGAGTGTGGAGTTGGACTTGGAAATTGGAGTGTGTTGCACTTTTGAATTTCAACTTTGTCTGCGTCTAAAATTTACTTGCTCCAAATTCAATTCAAAAGCGATTATCACCACTTAGCTGTCAACGACACGACGCCAACTACAAGAGATCTCAACTGCCCAAGACCAAAGAGCCCGTGAGCAGTGCCAATAACCGGCAAAGCCACTTCACAAGGGCATGGCATATAAATATATATATATATGTGTGTGTGTGTGAGTGTGTCTGTATCCGTGTGTATGTATCTACATCAATAACACTTTGGTTGGCTCAAATAAAATTTACACTTACAAGTGGCGCTAAAGTCAAGTGCAGTGCTCCTCCCCACACTATTATTATTATCCCCATTCCCTCTTTTACACACTGCAACTGAAGCCGTCAGCTGGTCAGACATGGCTAAAAGTGTTGCAGTCCTCATGGCAACTGGGGAGGGGGCTTAAGGGGTCCCTGCGGCAAATGTGGTCAAGAGTTTTATAAAGTTCATCATCCATGGGCTGGTCATAAGCATTTTTCAAGTGCAGCGCCAAAAGATTTTCAATTTCAAATGCGAGCATGTATTATATAAGCAGCTGGCAGGCAGTCGCAGCATGTGAAAACCATTTCAACACCTCCCTACCTAAAATGACTGTAAGCCATTTCATTATGCTCTTCACAATGGGGCATAATAATTACGTCATCAAGTTGGCAATGCACCAGCACGTTGCATGCGATTATAAATGCCAAATGGGTGGATTATTCTGATGTTACAAATTATCAATGTTTGGCTCTAGGTTACTTTTGCGCTTCTAGCTTAAATGTTCTCGGTTAAATTTAGTTCATTGTTTGTTTATTAAATATAATTTAAATATTTGCAAGATTTCATGTAACTCTCATTGGGTTAATAAAGGTAAATGATATTTTTCTATACGAGAGAGTAAAAGAATAAAAAGCCCGAAACAGACTTCAATCAAATTATTATAGTGTGTATCATAATAATATATTCCATCAAATAATCATTATTTGGCTTTAATGTAAAATTGAAAGCGTTCAACAAATATCGCATACGAACGCATTAAACAATTAAAAGATCAAAATATATCTCAATAAAATCTAAAGTTTAATTAGATTAATTATATTCTCTCAAATAGCATTAGCTGTTATAAGTTTTTTTATATAAAATATTAACGCCACGAAAAATATGGATATCTTCAGTATACGAAAGCGTTCAAGAATTAAAAGTCCAAAATAAACTGCATCAAAATTAAATCTTGATTACATTGATTAAATTATATTAAAGTTTATTTTAATTAGAAAAAATTATGTGTTTTGTATACGAAACAGATATTCTATAAAAATAAAACAAATTTTCTGGGTATTTCAGATGTTAAGACTTTTAACTTAAGTTCCTTCGAATTAAATCATATTAATTTCTACCAAAATACGTAATAGGGCCCTGTGGTGGAGAAAGTCTAGGATTTTATAGGACCCATTAAATATTAGTATGCGAAAGCACAAAGGAATTTAAAAATATAAAACTATAGCTAAATTGCATTGAATAAATTGATTCTCCATTGCTCATAAACGAAAGAGCATCAAAATAATATTATTCTCTTACGATATATTTCTTATCCCGTTGCACATTCATAAAGTACATAATCATGTTCATGACGTGAGTTGAAGTAGATTTGGGTTTGAGTTTGGGTTGGACTCTTGGCCTGTCTGTGGGTCTCCGTTGTAAAAGCTTAAACAGCTACAAGTATTTAAAAAGCACTTCACACAAATGTATTAAAAGCACATTGAAATGTATTTTATTGTTTATTTTGTTTAAATCAACTGCAGTGGAATTGTGCTCAGTGTCTCGTTACATAATTCTCTTCGAATTTAAGGCGATGACCCTAAATCCTGAAATTTAAAAACATAATCAGCCACGTGGTCTAGGTATCATTTGAGCAAACTGGGCAACTTGGTTACAATCCAGCTTATGTGCAGGATCTATACAGGGTTAACAAAGAATTTAGTTAAATGCAGTAGTTAAGATAATTTTCAGTAGACTTACTCTGACACGAGATAAGCTGAATATCGCAATGTGATAGATTCCTCCAGAACCAGGTAGTTATTGTCTTGTTGCGGCACAAGTCATTGAAAGTAATTGCTCTGGGGATTTTATTTGGACATCTCAGACAAGCCCTATTGATGCTCTGACAATCAGGCCTATTGGCACTGATCCACACGCAGCAGACCACCAGGAGAAGGACGAGAATGCTCTTAATATGCATTTTGCGGTCATCAGTCGATAACTGATATCCAACTTGAGTTCAAATCGAGCTTATATAGGCAAAAAACATCCCATCAATAGTCAATCAGAAACACATGTGCAAAAACGTTACATTGAACTTTTACAATAGGTAGTTCTATTTTTAACTCATTATAATTCCATATATCTCTTTATTGTACAAAGTAAGCATCTGGTCGATAACAATTGCCTAAAATCACTTTCTCAACTTGGCTTTCGACTATATATAGCTGGTACTTTAGCAAAGCTCGCTAGAGTATCACTCAGGTGCGTTCGCTAAACAATCATGTCGAAATTAGTGCTGTTGTTGGGTAAGCTGGCTACTTTAATCCATCAGAGATCATTCTGAGCATATATCCCTCTATCATCGTAGCCATCTGCTGTTTGTGCCTGTTGCAAGTTCAATCGCAACCCAAGCCGAATACCTGTGACGCCTTGTTACAGCAGTGTTTGAGCCATCAGCCAACCAGGGGAACCACAGACGATCTCACAGACTACTTCAATCTCGGCTGCCGTCGAAGGCTTCGCAATTGGAATAACTTTACACGTTGTCAGCTGGAAAATGCCGCCTGCGAATGTAAGTTCTTCATATTACTAATTGTCAGAAATTGGTGATAACATTTATATATATATACATTATTTTCAGTATCTCTGAACAGGTGTCTAGCATTGGAATGTGAGAATGCGGTCAGAGTACGCAGGGCATAACTTACCCAAGCCATCAATTAACATTGAAAATACATTTTGAAGAAGATAAAAAAGAAATTAATATTTTGAAGAAAATTAATTAATAAATCAATATAAACCAATCAAACACTGTCTCATCTTGTGTGCATAGCAGCAATGAACAAATACTACGAATCTCAAAAATGGCCCATCTCAGCCGCTGGCAGGCAGTTGCAGCATGTGAAAACCATTTCAACACTTTCCTACCTAAAATGACTGTAAGCCATTTCATTATGCTCTTCACAATGGGGCATAATAATTACGTCATCAAGTTGGCAATGCACCAGCACGTTGCATGCGATTAGAAATGCCAAATGGGTGGATTATTCTGATATTACAAATTATCAATGTTTGGCTCTAGTTTACTTTTGCGCTTGTAGCTTAAATGTTCTCGGTTAAATTTAGTTCATTGTTTGTTTATTAAAGATAATTTAAATATTTGCAAGATTTCATGTAACTCTCATTGGGTAAATAAAGGTAAATGATATTTTTCTATAAGAGAGAGTAAAAGAATAAAAAGCCCGAAACAGACTTCAATCAAATTATTATAGTGTGTATCATAATAATAGATTGATAGATATAGTAATATTTTTATGTTAACTATCACTTATCTGCGGTCAATAAATATTTAGAAAAACATTAAAATTAAAGCTTAATTGCATTGATTATATTCCATCAAGTAGTCTTAACCTGAATCTGCATTTGGCTTTAATGTAAAATTGAAAGTTCAACAAATATCTCATACGAAAGCGTTAAACAATTATGTTTGAAATAACTGTATTTTCTATGTACACCGCAGCTTGTCTTGCATTCCCGTTTTGTAGTCTTAATCTTTTGTTGCCTGCGAGCAACGGTAATTGTAAGTTCCTTATGATCAAGACCTTCTTCGATGGTCTATGCTTAAGCTACTTTCATGAAGTAAGAGCCAGTCGCTTTTGGTCGCTTGAATCGCGTAGTATAAGTCGCATGAAGCGAACATATATTCTGTATTAAATACAAAGCTCTGAATAAAATGATTAAGAAAAATTTAGTGCACGTGCAAGAACATGTATGTGAAGCATGCGCGAAGTGCAAAATAAATAATAAAGAGATTTCCAAAGAAATCTGAGACCCGCGCCGAAGGCACACTAGAGTTGATACACACAGACATTTGTGGCCCAATGAGAAAATGTTCTGTAGGTGGTGCGCGGTATTTTGGCACATTCATTGACGATAGATCGCGGTTTGTGCATGTGTGATTTATGAAAACTCGCGATGAAATCTTTGAGAAGTTCAAAGAATATAAGGCATTTGCAGAAAAACAAACTGGACGCAAGATAAAATGTCTCAGAAGCGACAACGGTCGTGAATATTTGAGCGGCGATTTCGAAAAATATTTAGTGCGCAACGGCATCAAGAGACAGCTTACTGTGCCGTATACACCCCAACAAAATGGTGTAGCGGAGCGCGCGAATCGAACGCTGGTAGAAATGGCACGAAGCATGATTGTGCATGCTGGTCTCAAGGAGGATTTCTGGGCAGAAGCTATAAATACGGCGGCTTATCTGCGAAATCGCTCAGACACATCTACGCTGGAGGATATGACACCATATGAGTCATGGTCAGGCAAAAAACCGTCTGTAAGTCACCTAAAAGTTTTCGGTACAAAAGCTATCGTACTCAACAAGAAGTACAATAAGAAATTCTAGTTGTTGTACTAGTTGGTTACTCTGCAGCAGCTAAGGCATACCGATTGTATAATCCCGATTCACGAAAAGTAATCGAAGCAAGAGATGTGCTATTTCTTGAAGGTGAAATGACAGATGACAGCATAAGGGACAGAATCTCGTTGTGTAATAGTGTTGTTGCACTGATCATGAAGGATGTCGAAGATGAGCCTGTAAGTCTTCATAGTGGCGATCAAACTGAGGATCGCGAAAATTCCGAATGAGATGCGGAGGTGCCAAATATATCTACAGATGGAGACATTGGTGACGACGAGGAAATCGAGTCAAGCGAGGCACCGGGTAAAAGAGGTCCTGGATGTCCAAACAAAGTTCGCAAAGGGCAGCCAGGGCGCCCTCGAAAGCAGTACAACATTTTGAGTCAATGCAGCCTTGAGTTCTGATCATGCCAGTAAATGGAGGACATCGATGCAGAAGGAGATAGACAGTCTGCACAAAAACAAAACTTGGGATTTGATTGATCTACCGAAGCGAGAGAAGGCAATTGGCTGTAAATGGGTATTTGCAAAGTAGTACGCTTGAAGTTTCGACTAGTGGCCAAAGGATGCGCCCAACAATATGGCGTAAATTATAATGAGATGTTCTCCTCTGTGGCCAGATATTCGACAATCAGATTACTGATTGCTCTAGCGGTAGGAAATGTTATGTATATGCATCAGATTGACGTGTCTTCTGCTTATTTCAACAGTGAGCTGCGAGATGTGGTTTATATGCGACAACCAGAGGGATTTGCTAACCAAGATTTCCCTAACCGAGTCCTAAAACTCAAGAAGTCGCTGTGCGGAGAAACTGAACACCGTGCTAATCAGGATTGGTTTCACTCCCTGCCCATCGTGATATGTTTGTACATACGTCGTGAGGCCAGCAAACAGAATGTGATAGTCGTATATGTCGACGATCTTATTGTGGCCAGCACCAGGAAGGAAGATCTGAACTTCGTGAAGGAGCGCATATCACAGGAGTTCGACGTAGTCGATGGCGGGCAATTGAAACATTTCCTAGGTCTGGAAAATGATCGTGAAGGTGAAATGACGTTACTGACGGTCATAAGTTGAGAACCTTCTACGTGAGTATAGTATGCACAACTGCAAATCCAATGCCATGCCTCTAGAGGCAGGATTTCAAGTCAGATGCGACAATGACGGATGCCAGCGAACGAACCAAAGTAGCCATCAATCGTTGATAGGCTCGCTAATGTATCTAGGCATAACTACACGACCTGATATAGTGCACTTAGTAACGAAGCTAGCACAGCGAAATTCAGATCCACACAAGGAGCGCGAAGCAGGTGTCAAGCGAGTATTAAGATACTTGAGGAGCTCGGCAGAGTTAAGCTTGCACTACAAGAATACCGGTCAGGCGATTCACTGTTTCGTCGATGCAGATTGGGCTGGAGGCAGCAGGGACCGGAAGTCCTACAGTGGCTTTGCGTTCTTTGCAGAAGGCCTGCATTCTCATGGGAGTCAAAGAAACAGAGCGACGTAGCATTAAGCAGTACTGAGGCAGAGTATGTGGCACTCTCCCTGGCAGCTATGGAAGCGGCATATATACGCAAAGTCATAGGTTTCCGCGAGGGATCTGGAACAAGGATAATCAAAGCGCTCAATGCTTGGCAAAAGATGCCAAGTTCCATGCGCGTAGTAAGCATATCGACATTAAATATCATATCAGAGATTTGATAAAAATTGAATATGTACCTACCAAAAACATGATCTCTGATGTGTTAACGAAAAACCTTTGTAAAGTAAAGCATAAGGAATTTGTTAACTTATTGGGTTTGCGCTGAATATGTAAAAGTTTATTTTATTTAAGAAGAAGTGGACTAACTGCGCTGAGCAGGAGTGTTGGAAATATCTGTATTTTCTATGCACACCGCAGCTTGTCTTCCATTTAATCTTGATTACATTGATTAAATTATATTTAAGTTAATTTTAATAAAAATTATGTGTTTCGTATACGACAGTACATTTTCAATGTATAATACTGAGTACTTGAAATATTTTTTCCACAGTTCAAATCAAATCAGAAATTATTTCAATAAATTCGATTTTGAATTTATGCATTTCTGAACAATAAAAGCTTGCCAGATATTCTATAAAAATGAAACAAATTTTCTGGGTATTTCAGGTATTTCAGACTTTTAACTTAAGTTCTTCGAGTTAAATCATATTAATTTCTATCAAAATACATAATAGGGCCCTGTGGTGGAGAAAGTCTTGGATTTTATAAGACCCACTAAATATTAGTATGCGAAAGCATTAAAGAATTTAAAAATATAAAATTATAGCTAAATTGCATTGAATAAATTGATTCTCCATTGCTCATAAACGAAAGAGCATCAAAATAATATTATTCTCTTACGATATATTTCTTATCCCGTTGCACATTCATAAAGTACATAATCATGTTCATGACGTGAGTTGAAGTGGATTTGGGTTTGAGTTTGGGTTGGACTCTTGGCCTGTCTGTGGGTCTCCGGTGTAAAAGCTTAAACAGCTACAAGTATTTAAAAAGCACTTCACACAAATGTATTAAAAGCACATTGAAATGTATTTTATTGTTTATTTTGTTTAAATCAACTGCAGTGGAATTGTGCTCAGTGTCTCGTTACATAATTCTCTTCGAATTTAAGGCGATGACCCTAAATCCTGAAATTTAAAAACATAATCAGCCACGTGGTCTAGGTATCATTTGAGCAAACTGGGCAACTTGGTTACAATCCAGCTTATGTGCAGGATCTATACAGGGTTAACAAAGAATTTAGTTAAATGCAGTAGTTAAGATACTTTTCAATAGACTTACTCTGACACGAGATAAGCTGAATATCGCAATGTGATAGATTCCTCCAGAACCAGGTAGTTATTGTCTTGTTGTGGCACAAGTCATTGAAAGTAATTGCTCTGGGGATTTTATTTGGACATCTCAGACAAGCCCTATTGATGCTCTGACAATCAGGCCTATTGGCACTGATGCACACGCAGCAGACCACCAGGAGAAGGACGAGAATGCTCTTAATATGCATTTTGCGGTCAACAGTCGATAACTGATATCCAACTTGAGTTCAAATCGAGCTTATATAGGCGAAAAACACCCCATCAATACTCAATCAGAAACAGATGTGCGAAAGTGTTACATTGAACTTTTACAAAAGGTAGTTTTATTTTCAACTCATTGTAGTTCCACATATCTCTTTATTGTACAAAGTAACCATCTGGTCGATAACAATTGCCTAAAATCACTTTCTCAACTTGGCTTTCGACTATATATAGCCGGTACTTTAGCAAAGCTAGCTAGAGTATCACTCAAGTGCGTTCGCTAAGCAAACATGTCGAAATTAGTGCTGTTGTTGGGTAAGCTGGCTACTTTAATCCATCAGAGATCATTCTGAGCATATATCCCTCTATCATCGTAGCCATCTGCTGTTTGTGCCTGTTGCAAGTTCAATCGCAACCCAAGTCCAATACCTGTGACGCCTTGTTACAGCTGTGTTTGAGCCATCAGCGCAACAGGGGAACCACAGACGATCTCACAGACTACTTCAATCTCGGCTGCCGTCGAAGGCTTCGCAATTGGAATAACTTTACACGTTGTCAGCTGGAAAATGCCGCCTGCGAATGTAAGTTCTTCATATTACTAATTGTCAGAAATTGGTGATAACATTTATATATATATACATTATTTTCAGTATCTCTGAACAGGTGTCTAGCATTGGAATGTGAGAATGCGGTCAGAGTACGCAGGGCATAACTTACCCAAGCCATCAATTAACATTGAAAATACATTTTGAAGAAGATAAAAAAGAAATTAATATTTTGAAGAAAATTAATTAATAAATCAATATAAACCAATCAAACACTGTCTCATCTTGTGTGCATAGCAGTAATGAACAAATACTACGAATCTCAAAAATGGCCCATCTCAGCCGCTGGCAGGCAGTTGCAGCATGTGAAAACCATTTCAACACCTCCCTACCTAAAATGACTGTAAGCCATTTCATTATGCTCTTCACAATGGGGCATAATAATTACGTCATCAAGTTGGCAATGCACCAGCACGTTGCATGCGATTATAAATGCCAAATGGGTGGATTATTCTGATGTTACAAATTATCAATGTTTGGCTCTAGGTTACTTTTGCGCTTCTAGCTTAAATGTTCTCGGTTAAATTTAGTTCATTGTTTGTTTATTAAATATAATTTAAATATTTGCAAGATTTCATGTAACTCTCATTGGGTTAATAAAGGTAAATGATATTTTTCTATACGAGAGAGTAAAAGAATAAAAAGCCCGAAACAGACTTCAATCAAATTATTATAGTGTGTATCATAATAATAGATTGATAGATATAGTAATATTTTTATGTTAACTGTCACTTATCTGCTGTCAATAAATATTAAGAAAAACATGCAAATTAAAGCTGTATTGCATTGATTATATTCCATCAAATAGTCAGTATTTGGCTTTAATGTAAAATTGCAAGCGTCCAACAATTATCGCAGACGAAAGCATTAAACAATTAAAAGATCAAAATATATCTCAATAAAATCTAAAGTTTAGATTAATTATATTCTCTCAAATAGCATTAGCTGTTATAAGTTTTTTTATATAAAATATTAACGCCACGAAAAATATGGATATCTTCAGTATACGAAAGCGTTCAAGAATTAAAAGTCCAAAATAAACTGCATCAAAATTAAATCTTGATTACATTGATTAAATTATATTTAAGTTAATTTTAATTAGAAAAAATTATGTGTTTCGTATACGACTGTACAATTTCAATGTATAATACTGAGTATTTGGAATATTTTTCCAAAGTTCAAATCAAATCAGAAATTATTTCAATAAATTCGATTTTGAATTTATGCATTTCTGAACAATAAAAGCTTGCCAGATATTCTATAAAAATGAAACAAATTTTCTGGGTATTTCAGATGTTAAGACTTTTAACTTAAGTTCCTTCGAATTAAATCATATTAATTTCTACCAAAATACGTAATAGGGCCCTGTGGTGGAGAAAGTCTAGGATTTTATAGGACCCATTAAATATTAGTATGCGAAAGCACAAAGGAATTTAAAAATATAAAACTATAGCTAAATTGCATTGAATAAATTGATTCTCCATTGCTCATAAACGAAAGAGCATCAAAATAATATTATTCTCTTACGATATATTTCTTATCCCGTTGCACATTCATAAAGTACATAATCATGTTCATGACGTGAGTTGAAGTAGATTTGGGTTTGAGTTTGGGTTGGACTCTTGGCCTGTCTGTGGGTCTCCGTTGTAAAAGCTTAAACAGCTACAAGTATTTAAAAAGCACTTCACACAAATGTATTAAAAGCACATTGAAATGTATTTTATTGTTTATTTTGTTTAAATCAACTGCAGTGGAATTGTGCTCAGTGTCTCGTTACATAATTCTCTTCGAATTTAAGGCGATGACCCTAAATCCTGAAATTTAAAAACATAATCAGCCACGTGGTCTAGGTATCATTTGAGCAAACTGGGCAACTTGGTTACAATCCAGCTTATGTGCAGGATCTATACAGGGTTAACAAAGAATTTAGTTAAATGCAGTAGTTAAGATACTTTTCAGTAGACTTACTCTGACACGAGATAAGCTGAATATCGCAATGTGATAGATTCCTCCAGAACCAGGTAGTTATTGTCTTGTTACGGCACAAGTCATTGAAAGTAATTGCTCTGGGGATTTTATTTGGACATCTCAGACAAGCCCTATTGATGCTCTGACAATCAGGCCTATTGGCACTGATGCACACGCAGCAGACCACCAGGAGAAGGACGAGAATGCTCTTAATATGCATTTTGCGGTCAACAGTCGATAACTGATATCCAACTTGAGTTCAAATCGAGCTTATATAGGCGAAAAACACCCCATCAATAGTCAATCAGAAACAGATGTGCGAAAGTGTTACATTGAACTTTTACAAAAGGTAGTTCTATTTTTAACTCATTATTATTCCATATATCTCATTATTGTACAAAGTAAACATCTGGTCGATAACAATTGCGAAAAATCACTTTCTTAACTTTGCTTTCGACTATATATAGCTGGTACTTTAGCAAAGCTAGCTAGAGTATCACTCAAGTGCGTTCGCTAAACAAACATGTCGAAATTAGTGCTGTTGTTGGGTAAGCTGGCTACTTTAATCCATCAGAGATCATCCTGAGCATATATCCCTCTATCATCGTAGCCATCTGCTGTTTGTGCCTGTTGCAAGTTCAATCGCAACCCAAGTCCAATACCTGTGACGCCTTGTTACAGCTGTGTTTGAGCCATCAGCCAACCAGGGGAACCACAGACGATATCACAGACTTCATCAATCTCGGCTGCCGTCAAAGGCTTCCCAATTGGATTAACTTGACACGTTGTCAGCTGGAAAATGTCGCCTGCCAATGTAAGTTCTGCATATTACTAATTGTCAGATATTGGTGATAACATTTATATATATATTCATTATTTTCAGTATCTTTGAACATGTGTCTAGCATTGGAATGTGAGAATACGGTCAGAGTACGCAGGGCATAACTTACCCAAGGCATCAATTAACATTGAAAATACATTTTGAAGAAGATAAAAAGAAATTAATACTTTGAAGAAAATTAATTAATAAATCAATATAAACCAAACAAACACTCTCTCATCTTGTGTGCATAGCTTGAGCGAAAAACATGTTTAGGCTTTGATTTGCCCAGTTTTCGTTTCCAAATCAGTGGCGAAACATCTTCTTCATAGAACAGCTTAGAATCCATCTGTCCACATGCTGGCAAACCATATTTAAAACTAATGCCTATTAGCCAAGTCCCCACACAGTTTTATATTATTGCATATGTTGAAAACGGTCCAAATTCTCACAGATTACGTGTTGCTTATCAGACGAGTGCCTCAGTCGAAAACTGTACTCACTCTCTGTTCTTCTCTCACCACAGGCACGCAGTTTAGCTTAACAACTAATCTCTGTCTCTATCTCTGTCTCTCTCTCTCTCTCTCTCTCTCTCTCTCTCTCTCTCTCTCTCTCTCTCTCTCTCTCTCTCTCTCTCTCTATTTATACAACAGAGCAAACAATGCTCTCACATGTAAACAAAACTTAATGCGAACCAGAGAGGAGTTCAGATGCGGGAGCACCTAACTACGAGATGTGTGTGTGTGTCTGTCTGTCTGTCTGCCTGTCTATTTGCCTGTTTGTCGTCGATCTATCTGCTTAGGTACACATGGTGATAATAAAGATTGCGAACCGAAAACAAAATTATTGTGCGGCGTTAATCGTAGTCACCATCTACTTTTGCTCTTGTTGTCGTTATTGTTGTTATGGTTGTTATTGTTAATTTTTCACACACACACTAAAAGAATGTTGGAGCCACAGTTTCGACGTAGCTCTAGATAATAAGCCAGTTGCACGACAAATGACAGTCGCCCAGTTGACAGTTGTCGTGAGTGTCGCGTGAGCAACGCCAAAAATTAATAATAAGAAAAAGTAATAAAATAAAAAGTTAAAAAAGCGTTGTACAATAAGCTAAAGATATTTGCATATTGCGATATTGGAGGACTGATTGACTGATTGATTAAGTGATTTCAGTGAGTGAACTTGTGTGCCAACAGCAGCAGCTGTTGCCAATGCTGCCACCAACATGTCAAACGTCACATTTGGGCATCTGACCAAATCGCAACCACTTTTCCATATGGTGGGCAGCAGTTATGCAGCGCTGGCTAATGCTGCCGATGATGCTGCTGCTGGCGTCTACTCACCAGACTTGCAAAGCTTGCACAACAGCAGCAACAATAATAACAATGAGAGCTTTGCCAGCAACAACAACAACGACATTTTGGTACTCTATGAGCAA